AATAAAAATTTAAACATTTTAAAAATTATAAAGTTGTTATGATGGCACCATAATTTAACTACTAAGAAACTGAACAATTGTAAAAAATTGAGAAAAGATTACTGAAAATTTACTGCAAAATTTAATGTCATAAAGTCGAAATTTCTATTATAATTATGAGTTTAAAACATATTTATAATCATATCAAATGCCTAGACTTTGAATTTATTCATCCACAAAACGATCTATATTTACAAAGAACAATAAGTTAGCAAGCAATACTGTTTGCTAGTGAGTGAACTGTAGCAATTAACCAGTCAGAAGGAGATTCATGGCATGTGACAAGTTAGAATTGCTTTCAAAGCACCAACATTCATCTTAAAATTTCATATTTATTTCCACATTTTTATAAATATAGTGAAAAACAAGCTTACTTATATGCCCAATTATTATTTTTTTTTATCAAAAGTAAATCTAAAATATAATTTCCATTGGAAATATAATTTTCTGGTTAATTAGACTTATTCTAATGGGCTTTGTCTGAAACAGATGCAACAAACCAAAAATACAAATAAAAAATTATTTATACTTGCCTACTATCAAAATAAAACAACTAAAACTGGTTTCATTATCAAATGCAAGTAACGTTTATTTGTAATTTTACACATTTTATAATGATGTAGTACAGTAAAACCTGTGTTAACCTGACTTGCATGGTACTGAATGTTTTTTCCAGTTTGGCAGATTCTGTTTTGAACAGGTTTTCTTTAACACAGAAAACTGATCTGTACTGAAGAATTCTTTCCTCTTAAGTTTCCATTTTATTAAGGTTCCATTTTAAACAGGTTTTACTGTATATATTAGTATGATATCAGTATACTTTTTATAATGTCGAAAATTTTTTGCATTTATGCAAATATTTAAAAAAAATTGTGCAATTTATGGAATCATACTGATTTTGCATAGTAATGTCAAAACTAAAAATTAACCAGTTTCATCCAATATAAATAAAAGCGACTAATTTATATAAAAAAATCAACTACAATTTGTTATCAGGACAGTTATTCAAACAACCATTTCCAATCAGAAGCATCAGTTANAAACTCGGCGAGATATGTTTTCTTCTGAAAAAGAGGATTAATGCCGATATCTGTTATTAAAGATCCTTTGAAGAAGTGTGAGGATGTCAGAACAACGGTCTTAGAATGGCATACAAACCAGGTTGAGGCTTGGGGATTTCTACAATTGCAATGCTATTAATTACTTATGAAAAATCCTAAAGAAGAGAGAAAAGCAATCGACATTAAACAGATTCTTTAACCCTTTCAAACTGAAAAAACATGACTAATAAAAACACAAGACTGTGTACGTGTGTATTTTTATTATTATATATAAATAAATGTAGTAAGAAAGTATATATTTTTTATTTTGAGGAGTCTCCAGAACAAATTAATTAAATTTCCATTAAAACCTATGGTAAATCGATAATCGGTTAACGAACAATTCGGATAGCGAACAAAGCCTGGAAACGGATTATGTTCGTTAACCGATCACCCACTGTATATGCTGGGCAACATTCTACCTGGCACATAGGACATTGTCTCAATTTTGCTCTAGAATTTGTATTAATTTCATTTTTATTGATACTGACAGAAGCTGCTGCACATCTTATAAAAATCTAAGTAATTATCATACCTTTCAAAAATTCTTTATAAAACTGTGTTTCCACTGCTCCAACAGCCATAAATTTTCCATCTTTTGTTCTGTATGTTTGATAAAAAGGAGCACCTCCATCCAACAAATTTTCCCCTGGTGGATTTCCCCAAATTGGAAGATTAGATGAAGGATCTTGAGTCTTCCATATCCAGCTGCTTAGATATGAAGAACCTTCTACCTTAATTTTTAAAAATTATTTAACATATATAAAAAGTAAATACAGATTTTATAAGAAATCATTTTATGATTTATTGTAATTTTGTTAACAAATAAAAATTTCATTAACCATGTTTGCATCAATCACTTGTCCCTTGCCTGAAGAATTTCTTTCTATTATTGCTAAACATATTCCAAGAGCACATAACATTCCACCTCCAGCAAAATCAGCCAGTAAATTAATAGGAGGATATGGTTTTTCATTTTTTCTGCCAATCATATAAAGAACACCTAAATATGAAATTATTATAAACAA